TTCAAACCAACATGCTCCTTGCTGTCTTAGGACTGTCCTTTCTAAAACTATACGTTCTGTAATGATACCGATTGTGTTCTTTTTTTCGTCACCAGCCATATCTCGACCGTGTCTGTGCCTGCCCACAACATGAAGTTGCACTCATGTTTCTGCAAACATGACAAGCAGCATGTTCTACCAAGAAGGCGTTCCATTTGCCTTGAACAACCTGCCGCCAGCTGCTCGATCCAAGTCTTCTTGTTCCTTCTCGATTGCTTCGTGGGCCTGGATTGTGGCACGTCAGTTTCAGCGCAGGCTTACCGTTGGCTAAGCTATGTATGCATTCTGGGCCAAGCAACGAGCCAGTTGATGTGATGCTTCCTGCGTTCGGAAATCTATGAAGCCCCAAACTAGTGCCAACACTCCGAGGCTCAGGGCCAGCTGCACAGAAGACTGCGGAGCAATGCAAAGCAGTCCTCTTCTGTGTCTTGGAAGGGTTCGACATGGTCGTGCTCTGCCATCTCTGCTGGTCGTATTGGCTGATCTCGGAGGGTACCTGCAGTTAGACCGGAATCCAATGTGCGAAGCAGATACTCTAGCCTTCTGAGACTGATGCGCCCTCAGAATCTTTCATGCGGCATGCATGACTTCCCATGAAAGCATTGCAGCATCTGCACCGACGAGCATGGAACTTGCTTCCGTTATCCTGGCATGCGCCTTTGGTTGAAGCTTCACCTGAGATCCCGGCTCTGCTAGCTCGAAGAAGGCCAGGCTGGCCGCTGAGTAGGTTGTTCATGTGCCAATCTGGGTCCTGCGACTCAGAGGAAGAGTGAGAGAGAGAGAGAGACCAGAGATGTATGTATGTAGATACATACATAGACATAGACTATACGCCACTATTATATCATGTTGACACTGACATGCGGCCATCTGCAGGCGCTGCCCATCCATGTTTGCAGCCGCAGGAAGCACGTCAAGCGGAGTATCTGCCTTCATGCTGTCCGCCGATATGTGCAACACCTTGGCAGAAGAGGACCTTGTCAAGACATTCACATGCACAATGCTTCATAGGCGTGGTGAAGCGCGACATGCGGCTTAGGTCCGATCGACAAGCAACACATGACACGAGACACGAACGAATCGCCGCTCAGCTGCGTCAGGTGGTCGACGTCTGCCTGTGATGGGCCTGCCTTGGCGTGTGCTGGCTTCTGGTGGCTGCCACCACTAGTGTAGTCTCGGTGGTCTGAAGTAACTTTGCCACTGAGGATGCTTCAGGGCTAGCTTGTAGCGTCCGAAGCAGCGGATGCTTGAGCAATCTTGCCGAAGGAGCTTCCTGCGTTTGCGCTCACAACTTGATGCAAATGCAAGAAAAGCCAGCACACCTGCTGCATCAGCCTAGGTGGCCATGCGTCCGATCGTGTGTAATCACAGTTTGCACGCCGGAAGGATGCCAGCCACTGTGCCATGGGGCTACGGCGAAGGGGACTGTCTCTTGGCCGTCTCTTCTCTTAAAGCTACCGTCCTCTGCTTCCGTGATTTCCGGGACGTGAACTGCACGGACGACCCACGCATTCCTGCTGCCAAGACATCTGAAATCAAAACTCGTGAAAACCCAACGAATGCTTGAAAAAGCTGCTCTCAAGGTGTATGTGGCAGGCACAGCCGAGAACTTGGGCCGTGACGCATCCCCCATTGCATGAGGTTTCCTCAACAAGTCGAAAATTGTTTGACCCCCGAACAACTCAGGGTTAAGTAGACATATACCATGGGCCCATGGGGTCCACATACACCGCAACAAACGGAAAAGCTCAAAATCAAGCAGATAAGCGAGTGCACGAGTCGGGCACGATGCCGAAAGATGCACTTAGCCGCATTGCAACGTTGAGCTGAGCAGCTCCCTTGGCTTACCGGCAGTAGCAAAGTCTATCTCAATTTGACTCTCCTTTCCCGGATCCAGGAGCTCCTGCGCCAGAGGTTCGGCTTTGAGGAGCGGCGGAGAGGAACTGGCTATGCGCCAGCTGAGGTTTCGTACTCGTAGGTAAAGCCTTAAAACCATCTGGAATCGCTCATCTGGCATACAAGATGCGAAAAGGATTCGACCGACCAAAGCACAGGAGGAAGCCTAAGACTCTCACAAACTGCCCTCGAGCTTGTTCAAGCATTAAGAGCTGGCCTTCTTTGGCCGTGGGAGCAGAGACACAAGCGACGAGGACGGTTCGGCTGAGGATAAAACATCCTGTCCGGCAGCGACAGGATGACAGAAAGCAAAGTTGCCCAAACAGAAACGCACGTGATTGCCTCATCCATGGGTGGAAGTTGTGTCTCCTGTGCTTCCTTGTCGGAGTTCTCGTTGCTGGACAGGCTTTCCTGCACCTGTCCAGGACATGCCGGAAAGGCGGTCGAAGGTCACATCGTCTGCGTGGTTGTGTGGAGCTCGGCAGAACTGCTAGCCTGATTCTCTGACTCGCTTGTGGCATCTGGATCGGTTGTATCCCCCTCCTTCTTGGCAACGGCCATCGTGAGTCAAATGCCATCCCTACTGACACTCGTGATGTCCTCTTGTTTGGGCAACTCTTCGGTTGCAGCTGCAGCTTGCTTGGCAAGCGGCAGCGGCAGCGGGCGCGACATGGGGAGCTTCGCATAATCCAATCCTGACCCCACAACCCACCGATTTGCACTCGCAGGAGTGTTGCATGTTCGTCACGTCAATCCAGCGACTGAGCCGCCCACGAACGACACGGCGCCTGAACAAGAATTGCCAGATAAAGCTACTAGAGCGCATTATGGCTGTCTACTTGTAGATCTGTTCACTTCATCTTCATGACAATGAGCGATGATATTGTGCCCTATTTCCTGACCTGTTGATGTTGTCCGTCGGTCGAAATCAAGGTACCCGAAGCAATGCACTCGACCGGCCGCAACTTCTCCAGTTTCCTTCTCGGGCCTTGCTGTGGACAAACTTCCCTAGCTTTGGTACTTTCCATCCAATCTGAGAAGGCTGAGGGCCCAATGCTCGAGATCGTTTCGCCTCTTCTTCTGCTGATACCGAGTGCCTCTTGGCGACCTTTTTGTCGACGCTGGAGGAAGACTCATCGCTGCCGTAGCCACTGAGAAGACCCATGCGCCCAGTATGACTACTGTTTGTGGTCTGCTTGATAAGACACGACTTAGCAGCGCTGAACGCTGCCATGCAGCGACGCTTGGCTGAAATTATTGCGAAGACCGTGTGATCGAACTCTGGCGCAGGTATGCACAGGGGTGAACAGCAGATGAGCTAATTTTGGAGCCAGCTGCAGAGAAAGACGTCGCAAGCACGACGGGCAAAGGATACTGAAAGCACAAAAACAACCAAGGCAGCTGGCTCTGTACTTGCTCGCAGCCATGACTGCTGGTAGATCGCAAACACAAGGCGAAAGTAGCTCAGCTGCAGGCAACCTCCTTTTTAGCTTGGCAATGTGACGGTGTCATCTGTTCATTGTACAAGCTGTTCAGTAGCCATTCTCAATGTAACGCT